ATTTCACCTCCTTGGGCATTCATGGAGACTGGAGGCATTGACTCCCCATGTGTGGGATGGCAGAATGAGTAGCTCTTTCCAAAATTAAAAGATTTCTGCCATCACAAGCAGAAAGAGGCAGCAGAGTTTCCTGGCAGGATGTATCCAGTCCATGTCGTGCCTCTTGGTAACCCCTGGGTCTTGCACAACTCTGAGCACTCACTGGGGGCTGACAGGATCCGTTTCCTTCCAGCCCTCTCTGGGAGCTCTGGGGTTGCTGCTGTGCTCAGCTGCATGGCTGTGACGTGGGGACAGTCTCTGTGGCACTCTGGGGACAGAAGGCTGAGTCACTGTCATACCTCACTGTCTGCAGCATGAGCATCACTTGGGGACAGAGAGGAGCCAGCACAGTGGCTGTAACCTGTCACCTGTAGCTATAACTGGTACTTTGAACACCGAGATGTGAAACAGAGTTTAGAAGGTGATCCACTCATGTCTCCACTGTCCAAAACCCCAGGTTGGTTTTCTGTGTGGTTCTTTCTGCAGACCAGTGAGCCCCTGCTTGTGTCAGCCCTCCTGACTGTCAAAGGTGACATTACAGAATCCTACCGAGTCCTGTTCATGGCAAGAGTTGTGTCTGCACCTGCTCCCACTGCCTGAGGGATCCAGGCCAAACGGAAAGGAAGATGGAGGTTACATTACTGGGAGATCCCTGGATCTCTGGTGAAACATGGGAAGATTTTGAGATTGTTGCAAATAAGTGAGGGCAGCAGGGATATGGGAAGGAAGGGCCATGTAACATTTCTGCTCTGTTTCACCCAAAGTTCTCTGTGAACTCTAGTGCCAGTAGCTTCATTTTCCAGCTGACTCTGTGACAATAATCTTGTGTTAGAATTACTGAGGGCCTCAAGCAGCTACACCTGCTGTTAATCCCATGTCTCCCAAAGGTGGGCATTCCATCAGGAGGAGTATCTGCTTTACATCCACATAGGTGAGTTTCTATCTTCTTCCAATTTCAGATGCTTTTTGTAGGATTTGGAAAAGCCTTGACTTTTTCTCTTTTAAAACCAGAATAAAGTTTCTTATTCAAGCCTTCTCCAAATCATTTGGGAAGTCACTTTTACAATGTACAGTCAAATCTGCCTGATATCACATGGTCAAGGGGGAATATTCCTGTGCTGTTCCCTGGATATAGTCAGACACTTGCCAGAGATCCTGGCTGTCCAGGAACTTTGTATTTCTATATTTGCCTTCTGCTGAATTCTGGCTGAGAGCAGAATCCTGCTGTTTCTGGGGAAGCCAGAATGCCCTGCAGGTGGAACTTTTGTCAGGAAGCAGCAGCTGGTTCAGGGCAAGTGCAGAGCTGGAGACTGGAGGGAGCAGGAAGGCAGCAGCCATTAGACACAGGATAATGCTGTACATCTCCTATCACACTCCTTCCTGAGTCACAGCCAGTCTGTGGCAAAGTTCCCTCCCCACCACTCCGGAGGTGTGTTGCCCTTTGGCCCCTGTAGCTGTTAAATTCAGGTGATGCAATTAGAAAATAGAAACGTTGTTTGTAAATATCCCTGTGGTAACGAGGGAACTGCGGGAACAAGCAGGGAAGCAATTGTCACAAGGAACATTTTAACCAGGCTCCCACTTTGACAGAGGAGGTTTGTAGGAGTGAAGAGGGGATTCCTTGTTTGTCCAGCCAGTGTTTGATCCATTGAGATGAGTTCTCATTTAATAATGGACCGAGTGCCAGTGGAGTCACTTAACTCTTGAGTCTAAAGCCTGCAGATGCTGAGGCAATCCCAGTGTCCCGGAGTGGGGAGGAGCTGGGGGTGGCAGTGCCAGCCAGGGACAGCTCTGCCTTCCTTGGAGGCCCTGGGTGCTGCTGCTGGCACAGCTGGGCAGGCGCCTGGAGCTGGGCACAATGGACTTTGTGTGCTGGCTCCCCTGCAGCCCCAAAAGGCTGAGTAAATACCACTACATCAACTAAAGCCACTGCACACAGCACTGCTCACTCAGCAGTGACCTCATGGCAGAGGAGTTGTCAGGAAACAAGGAAGGGCACAGTGCGTGGGAGTGGAGGAGCTATTTCAGGCACTGAATTTGTGGACATCCATTATGTGAGAATCCTTCAGATTTCACTCCTGGAAACCAAAAAATGATGGCTGACAATACATCAGTCTCCAGACTCTGGTTATGATAACCATACAGAGTGCTGAAAAGAAGTGTAACATTATCTACCAGGAAACAACACCCCTGTCTTAGGAATCTTCCACTTCACAGAGGTCAGGTGCTGAGAAAAAGCATCCAGAGGATGAAAAGAAGGAAAAAATTAAAGAATGATGTAAAGACAGTGACATTGGTGCCCTCACAGGGTTAGGCTGGGTAAGGAGCAGCTGCCACCAACCAGCTGAAGGACCACTGGTACCCAGCAGCTCAGGGTGAGCAGAGGTTTCTCCCACTGTACTTGCATTCCTGGGACTGGAGAACTTGGATCAATATTTTCACAGGATTGAAGTGAACATAAGGTTCTGGGTTTCTCTGGTCAAAGTCTTCATGTTTAAAACTCAGCATATGTTTGTTCTCTTGGGGGAGGGTTGGACCAGGATAACAGGAACAGGTGGTTATTTCTGGAGGACTGAAAATAAAGTAAACTCTCCTTGTAAAACTCCAGCTGACGTTCTGTAAAACACTTACAGAAATCTGAACAGGTTTTAGTCCCTTTCATAAGAGAAAAGCCTGGTACTTCAGCTGCAGGTATTTTATCTATGATCACAAAAGTGATCATATTTGACTTCTCGGGGACACAATGGCTGCTCAGGCAGGATTAGATTTCCCTTTCTTGGATTTGCTTTGTTCTTTGGGGACACAGTTGTGAAGTGCCAGCTCTCACATGGGGCAGCACTCAGGCAATGAGAGACACGGGCTGATGTGGAAAGGAAAACGCATTGTCTGATGTGGAAAAGGAAAAGAACTCCCCTTGGCAAAGTGTGCACTGTGCTGCTTCACCTGGGACACTGCTGCAGTTCCAAAAGTGAGAGCATGGTTACTGTGTCTGCAAAATGTAACCCTGGATGTTCCACTGGCATTCCATTGAGAGTTACCACAATGACAATCATCGTGATGCAAACCTGCCATGATCAGAGGTGCACACCTTCAGTTTACTGAAAATTTAGGAATTTTGTGAGGATGCGCCTACCCACACAATTCTCCTGCACAATGTGCGTTATGTGCAACAGCTTCTTGATATTTCTCCAATGAACAGAAAATTGACTGGGACAACTGAAGATGGGAACCATTCCCTGGTAACTCAGACCCACGGAGCTGATCCAGAAGCAGTGGGTTTGCAGGCAATTCCTTGAGCACAGACAGCTGAGAGTGCTGGTGTGTTCCTGGCATGGATCAAAGCCAAGTCCCAGTGCCCAGCAGAAGCTCAGCACAGCTCCTGCAAGTTCATCTCTTGGAAAGGCACAAACACTGTTCAGTTCTGTGCTTCCAGAGTGGGTTATCCACAGGTGTAGCACTGGGCATTAAAACTGCCAGGTGACTCTAAACATGGAACCCAGGGTTTCTGTTTTCATATTACAGGACTCCAGTAGGGATGGAGCTGTTATTGTGAGGACAATATGGAAAATGTGGCCTCAGAAATATTTCTTCATTTCCCAGAAGCTGAAGTTTTCTGCTCCTCTAACTGCACTTGTGACCATTTTGCTTTCAAACTGAATTTTGCAACTGTGACCACTCTTGAGTCCCTGGATACAAACTTGTGCTTTCAGATTTGGATCTAAAAGAAAACATGAACTTCATGGCACTGATACAGTTCTGGTTTAATAAGCAATTCACACCCATGTATGATCTTAATAATCCTTAAAAGAAAACCCAGCTCATTTGTAAGGCAAAAAGTGAGACAATAAGCACTAGTGTCATACACATTTATTAATTCATGTTCTGCTTCTCCAGAAGTGACTTCAGTGATTGCTTCACACATATGAGCACAGGTTTCCCCAAATGAGCAATGGCCCCATGACCCTGAGCAGTGCTGGAGGAAAACACTGCAGTCACTTTGTCACATGCCATTGCTGAGCCTGGAAACACTGGGTTTCAGTTCTAGGAATCAAAATAGGGAATATCACCTGGTGCTTCGCAGGCAATGGGTCCATTGGTGCTCCCCATGGAGTGGCTGCCCCTGGGATTGTGCCGGGCTGGCCCTGACAGGACACCAGGTGCCACCAAAGCCACTCCATCACTGCCCTCCTCATCTGGACAGGGAGGAGAATACAACAAAAAGCTCATGGATGGAGATAAGGAATTTATACATCTGAAATGTTCACCATAGTTAAATAGACTGGAGCACACTGATCCTAAAGAGCCGTCAATACCTTTTCTGTCGTGTTTCATGTGTTTTAACAAGACTCTTTAGAAAGGGAAATTATCTGCTCTTCTAACCATTTATTTCTGACTTATATATTTCATACCAGGTTTCTCATTTCTTTATTTCTCCTTCGAGTCCCTCTGACACGGCAGAGGCTCCGGGGGTGTGTCCAGCTGTCGCACACCTGATGGAGAGATGGTGATGGTGAGAGCAGCGCGCAGCCCCGAATCGCTCCGGGGAAATCTCTGCGAGCCGAGCTCTCCGCCCTGCAGCTCCTCCCTGACATCCCGGTCACGGCAGGCAGGGACAGGGACGGGGACAGACGGGGGACAGGGGCTGGGCAGGGGCACTCGGGGGGAATCGGGCAGCTCTGCCCCGCCCGGCCCCGACCCCTCCCGGGGCGGGCGGAGGATCCGGGGCCGCGGGGCCCGGGCGGGGCGGTCCTGCCGGGTCCTGCCTGGTCCTGCCGTGCCCTGCCCCGCCGAGGCTCTGCCCCCCCGGGGATGATGCTGGTTATTTATTGCGCTGCCCAGCACGGGCTGTCCCCAGGGCTCGGTGTCCCCTTTCAGCGCCGGCCGCGTGTCCTTGAAGCGGCGGCGGTGGCTGCCCGTGGGCTCCACGGCCACCAGCCCGGAGCCTCCCCAGCACATGCAGCAGGGACTCGAGGCGCTTCTCCTTTGGCCACCTGCTGATCCAGTCCCGGGGTCCCCTTTCCTAAGCATCGCTCTGTTCAGGGAACAACTGTGAGAACTCTGCCCGGTGAGTAACCACTGCCTGTTCCCAAACCTTTCCCACCGTGACCAAGTGACATTCCCACACCAGAACGGTGACTTGCTGATGGCCATTCTTTACAACTTCTTTTTTGATCTCTAAAACAATCAGCAACTTTTAAATTTCACTGCCTCCCTTGCTCTGTGGACTGAGGTGAATGGTTCTCTCCCAAGGCGACTCCCAAGTGTCACTCCTGAGCAGTTCGCAGGTGCTCTCCTGTGGTCAGAACCATTGTTGTGGTACAGGAAATCCATTGCAGGAGGTTCAGTACACACAACCCTGCTGTGGCAGCCGTGCTCCTGAAATGTCACAGGCGCTGTTCTCCTTTTGTACTGCACTAGAGCTGAAAAAAGCCATTTCTGGCTGCACTGGAGCAATGGAAAAATAACTTTAATATATCTGGTGGACACAGACAGTTCTAGACTGGCATTTTCAGACAGGCCTCTGGTATGAGGCACCCCATCTCAGTTACCTTTAAATAACAATGATTTGGTTTTCTGTGAATCCTGCACGAGTCATTCTCTGCCCCAAGCAAGAGTGAAGCACCATTGCATAAAAATATTTATTGATTCAGAAGCAACTTTTACAGTGGGACTGTTTGCATGTTCTCATCTGGAGTAATGGTACGACCATGAAGAACAATCTGAAGTGGTTTTGTTCCATATTCTTACAGAGTGCTTTCCCTTTTCCACCCCAGGGAAGTGCATTCCCTGACATACATTCTCTGTTTAAATCAGTGAATCATCTACCTTCCTTCACAGATGCCCTCAGAACATGTCTGATTGGACAAGTCTGTGGTATGTCTGGTAAGTCGGCTTTTAATCTTCCTAACCCAGAACGATTTGGAAGTTTCTATGAGCAGTTCTTGGAACGAGGCAATGGAAACGCTTCTCTGGGGCAGGATCAGGGAAGGGTTTCTCTGTTTTCTGAGAGCTGCCAGAGGAATGGACTGGACGAGGCCAGGGGACATTGGGTGTCAGGTGGGGACCAGCATTCACCCAGGGCTATGTCATCTTTCCCTTCTGAGTGCACTGGAGTTGAACTCAAGGGCTTGTTTGTTCTTCCTAAATAGCCAAGCGCTGCTGGCCATTGGCTCTCGGCACAGGGCGGTTCCCAGCGGGGATTCGCTGGGACGTGGCCCTGCCCCATGCTCGGATCGCTCCCTTCTACGGGCCAGGGACTGTCCCCCTCTGCAGAGCTCCAGCCAGCACAGAGCTGAGCACGGCCTGCCGAGAGACAGAGGATTCACAGCAGGATTCATCTCCTACCTGCCACGTGCTATAGGTGCCCTGACATTGTTTGCAGCCTTTGCATTCTGTCCGTGCACTGCCTTTGGTGGCAGCACGCAGAGGGAGTTGATTACTTTTATCTCTTTCAGGCTGGAGCAATTTTGGTTGATACAAAGAGTTGTGTAAAAAGACACAGTTACCAAAAATAGCTGGAGACGGCTTCTAAAAGCCTCGACGACAAGAGAAATTTCGATTGAGAAACTGAGGGGTGGGAAGGTGGAGTTTCAGTGGAGAGGAAAACCTGAAACACGGGTATATCAGTCTAGGAACATTGTAAATTGTTAAATTATAAACTTCCTTAAGCAATAGCTAGAGATAGAATTGTGTTTTCAAGGCATAAATATAATTTAATATACTATCATTTCCATGCTCATTTATAAAGAGAGGACTAGACTTGTGGAAGTTTATGCTTGTATTTCCCTCCAAGTACAAACCCTTGCTGTGGAAAGCAAAGCCATTGTCCCTGCACAGAAGTTGAAAATAACCAAAATAGTGAAATGTTACAGCACCTGTGAGCCATAACGGGTTGTACTGATGGGCAGCAGTTCTTCAACTCGAGACTGAGTGTTTGTGATCCAATTTTCTAATCCAGGATCCAGCACCCATCCAGGACTAAATCAAGGAGGCTTGGCCTGTCTTCCAGCCATTTAGAGTGGAATTATATTCTGGTTTAGAAGAAGTAAAACATAAGCAGTGCAATGATGGAGTTTTCCCCCCTCTTTCAGGCTGATCTTACTGCTGGTGTTCCTGCTCCTGCTCTGTGGGGTCTCAGCGAGCTGCATCAAATTCTGCTGCCGCAAGAAGAGGCTCCCAGTGGAGACCTTCCCTCGGCACCCCTGTGACCTGGCAGTGATTGGCCTTGACAGTGACAGCACTGCCCACAGCACAGTGACCTGTGAGTGTCCTGGGAGTCACCTGCTCCATGGGACATTGCTCCTCAACCTCATTCCTGTGCCTGGAATTCTGTGCCCAGCCCCTGCAGGAATGGGAATTCCCAGGGAGCTCCCACAACAACTTCCAGCCCCACGGGATGGGCACGAGAGGTGAAGGGAGGGATCAGGGTGACAGTGAGTGACAGCAAGTGACACTAAAGACCAGGAGTGATGCTATATGGACAGCTTTAGTATACAGTGCATTTGTTCTGAAAACACAAAAGTCTGTAATTTCCTGGCAAAAAAAGGAGGATTAGCCCTTTCTATATCAGTGCTTCATGCAGGTGTTTAATTTTTATTTTTAATTCTTCTTCTTCACAGCATACAGCTCATGGCAGTACCCTCCAAGTGTCCAGATTCCCTTGGTATTTGTGGATATGGATAAGAACACTGTGTCCCCTCCAGCTTACAGCCTCTATGCCATGGACCTGCCACCTTCCTATGATGAAGCTGTTCAAATGGGAAAGCAAGGGGCACGGACAAACCAGAAACTGAATGACATCACTGAACAGGTGACACCAGGTGGGCTGAATCCCAGCCAGTCTCTACCTGACACAATCAACAGAGATCCAGCAACACAGGCAAGTTCAGAAGATTCAGAAGATGCCACAAAAGAACAGCCACAGGTCTGACTCAGTTCAGATGGGGAGTAAAGTGAGGGAAGGACGGTAAGAGTTAAAGAAGACATGAAGAGTTTGGTTTATAAGTAGGTTATGATGGAAAGATGTTTCTTCTCATGCCCTTGTAATGATCTATCAGAAGAAATGTTTTCTGAGACTTCTGTAATCCCCTGGTAAAGCTTCTTCAAGGATATGAAATGAGGGAAAAGGGCAGCAGTTTAAAAATGCCTCTGGTAAAAGTGGGACGTGAATGCATGTTCATCTTCTGATAAAAAATTGTTCCTTGTGTCCAGCAATAAAAAAGGAGAATTTTGTCACCTTGGGAATACACACTCAGAACAGTACAAACAGGAAGTTGTTGTTCTAGAACAGAAGTTTCCCAAGCTGGAGTTGAAGGGGGAATCCCAGCAAGTGGCACTGAACAGCCCCTGTAGTTTCTCTTCTTTTGAGAACATCAACTGCCCAGAAAACTGCTGAGGACAAAGTGCTGCACTGGGGCTCATGTTCCTCAAGGAGCAGGAAGATGCCAGGACAGGAGAGCGTGGAGGGAAATGCTTTGTGTTGTTTCACACAGGGAATGAGACAGATGAGACACGACACTTCTGTGGTGCTGGTGGTCATGAGACCTCAAGGGATTGTTTTTGAGGTTCTGTAAATCCTCCAATTTCTATTTTTGAGATGCATTGCCTTGTGGGTGGGTTCCCTTTGCCGTTTCTTTTTTCCAGATAAAGTACACATTAATTCCAAAGAGACACTCGCACACATGGTTTGGTGCTACTGAAGTGTTTCAAATATTCATCAAATATTTCAAAGATGCTTTTATATTGTTATCTGCTCAAGCAGCACAGGAAGGAAAAATCACAGGTTCGTGGCAGCTTTTACCAGTTCAGAACATGCTCAAGGAATGAACAGGGTGACACAAAACATGCTTGTGCTGAGCCATCCAGAATAAGTTAGAGATACAAATACCACAGTACAGGCTGGGCAAGAGTTCAAAGAAATTACTCTTAGGGATGGTTCTTCCTGAAGTACTGATAGAAGGATAAGTGCTGAGCATCATTTTAAAACTGGGAGCTTGGAGCTGATTACAGCAGTCACAGCCCACACAAAAACACGGGCTCCAGAGGCAGGGTTTTTAATGCCAGCTCTTTCCCTTGACCCTCCATATTCCAAATGGTCCAAATTTTGTCCACTCCTGAGCAGTGATTTTTTTTGAATCCACTTTAGCAAGGTGCTAATCTGTCTGCTTTAAGAACATGAGCAATTGCCAGGGTGGCTCATTGCTCTGGGTAAGAGCAGCAACCAAAGCCTGAGCACTCGGTGCTATTAGTGAATGTGGCATAAATTCAGGTGTCTGTCATTAACAGGCAGTAGAAGTGGTGGGCACAAAAGCCTGCACAGCTTTTAGAAGACTGTTATTCTCTGACAACCATTACTGCAAGAACTGCCCTGGAAATGAGCACTAATGATTTAAAAATGAAGATCTGTGCCAGCCACAGGCCTGAGATGCTGCTGCAGAGTCGTGTGTGAGCTGTCCATGAGTCTGGCTCCCCAGGGAAGGGTCGCTTCTATATTTAACTTGCATGTAATTTACTATGAGGGTTGAGTGGTGTAACAAATTTGCTTCTCTTGTGTCTCCTCTCTGTCATCCTTCATTATATTTCTCCTGTTTTATTCTTTCCTCTGTTTTCCTTATCTATGTCAAGATGGAGGCTGGGCATAAGCCAGGGTAACTCTTTGGATGTCTCTGGCTGGAAGGGCAATATTTGCCCAGTCCTGGATGTCTCCAAGCCATTAATACAGCAGATGTAAATGTATTTCATTTATTGACCTTTTCCATTGTACTCAGAAGGAAGCCTCTGCCCTTGAGAAGAAGGAATTTATGTTGGAGGGAAATGGCTGAGCGCTCACTCTCAGACAGAGACGGGGATTCAAAGGCGGGCGAATGAAAGAATCGTGACTGACACAAGAGGGCAGTCCCTCCCTTCCCGCTGTGCGCAGAGATGTCGGCGGCACGGGCTGGGGAAGGGGCTGGAGCTGCAGGGGCTGGGGACGGTGACCACGGCTCCAATTCCCCGCCCTGCCCTTCGTGCCTCGGCAGCGCCTGGACGGGACCTGCCCGCTCTGCTCTGTTCGGTCACAGGAGATACAAAACCCCAAAAAACCCCAAATGCCTGTGACTTCCTAGGAATAAGGGCAGAGTCTGGTGTTTCCTTTCTAGCACCTCAGGAAAAGTCTTGTGTTTTGCCCAGGCTCTTGCCTTGTTACAAAGTTCATTAATTCAGAAACTGTTAATAGCAACTAGAGCCCCACTCAGCCCTCAGGAGCACAGACTCCCCTCTGCACACCAAAAGCAGCTCAGTTTGCTGGGTAACCTTCATAGCTGGGAAATTATGAAGATTTTTCTTGTGACCGACCTTTTCCAAAGCCTGCTTAGGGTGACCCCATGCTGGGATCCTTCCTGCAATGGAGGGCTGAAGAGATCCCTCATCCCTGCACAGCTCCTGTTTCATGGAGCAGTTAGAACTTCACATTTTGGAACCTACAGTTCTTCAACACTTTGCATGAAATTGGTCAGTGGATTCAGAAGTTTTTATTGGGTGTGCAGAGTGGAAGGAGGGGAAGCAGGACATGGATTTGGAATTTGAGATTCCAAAGCCTTGCTTCCAGAAGAAACCAGGTTTAAAAAGAAACCAGGGAGAGGTTGGTCCCACAGCAGCTTATGGGCTTGGCCTGATGCAGGATCTAAGAATTTGGATTTGTCAGGCTGGTGGTTTTCACCATCACTAGATCTATTCGAGTCTTATTATATCCACACAAGCTTTGTGACGTCTCTGAGGGAAAAGCCCCTCTCTGTAATTACCCAAAGTGCATTTTTAATTGTGATTTATATTTGGTCCTCAGTTTGGCACTGTTCAGCAAGCAATTTTTCTTCTCTCATTTGTTCAAAATGATCATTTTGTCAGTTATTTTCTGCTGTTCTTTGCTGGCTGTGTGAAAGAGCCTGTGCTGGGGACATGGACTGCTGAGGCTGGAGCCTCCATCACTGTCTCTCCTCTCACACACATGCACTCAGCACGAGCACTTGTGCTCAGAAAGAAAATGCAGCCATGGAAGTAAATTTCCTCAATAATTCATGGGCTTTATAGCCCAGAGCAAATTATACCTTGGCTCTGTCATGAAATTCAGGCTGCAAATCCCTTTATAGCCAAGCTCGTTAACAATATAAGTAAAGTGCTACCTCTAGAATGGCTTTGATAATTGATGCATTATAATCTTTGGAGAATATTTAGTGGTAAACCTGCAGCATCCAGACTGAGGCATCAGTGGGGTCTGGATACAGGAAAAGTCAGAGAAAAAAACCATTTCTTTGTTTGCCTTGCAGTTGCCTTTGTCTGCCTCACTGGCCTCAAGTAGCTCAGCTCTGGTTACTCTGTTTTCTAAGTGCATTTTGTCTTTATCAGCTGCAGTTTTTGAGGCACAAGGATCACTGCTGCTGCCAATGCAGATGAGTGGGACACTTGGACACGTGCAAACCCTGCTCATTTATGGAACAAAGTATCTCTGCCACAACCACTCTTAGCTGTCTCCTGGTTCTGATCCTAATCCTCTTTACCTGTTAGAACTCTTTTTTGTTTAAGGAGACACTGACTAATTTTGCTGCAAGTAGCAGAGGTTCTTTCCTTCACCCACAATTAAAATTCAAACTGTGAGAGAAACCTTGGAATCCTTTTCAGAGCAGCCGATGAAAACAAAGTATCACAGGGGAATTGTGCTCTAAAAACTGGAGAAGACAATAAATGTTTTATGAAATTCTACATCCTAAGGTCAAACTCAATGCACGAAAAAGGCTTAGGTGCAAACCCAGATTTCTGGGAAAACATTTTGTTCTGGTCAGTCAAAATTTAGGATATAAAATGCCAGTGCTGGTCTCTTTTTATCTTACTGGAAGGAAAAAGGGGTCTGTAGAAAAGAATGCAGACTTTCAAAGATTTTTCTTTTTTTAATAACAAAGCTCACCTTGGGCACTTGGAGAAAGGAGAAAATCAATTTCTATTTCAAACCTAGAAATGAATCTGCAGACCTGAATCTGCATTAAAGTGCTTAATTTTTACTCTTTTTTTTACCCTGCTTTCTCAAGTAGCTCAAAAAGGAAACAAAAGAGAAGAGCTTGATGTTGAGCTCTTACTTGTGCATTTTTTCTCTTCCCATGCTAAGAGTTTATGGCATAAACCATTTCCTTCCACAAGTGAGGAAGTGCAGTCCCGAGGTCCCAGTGCTGACCTGGGAAACCCAGTTTGGTGATTTTCCTGCCCCAGCCTTCCCACATGACCCTGGTCTGTAGAGCAGCGACTGTGGGACTGTGGTGCTGCCTTTTCTTGTGCAGAATTTGGAGGATGAATACATTGAGCGTGGGCTGCGCTGTCACATTGAAATACAGGTACAGTCAGAGCATGATGAACTTTGTGTGGGACATGAAGTGCAGGAAAAAACCTCCCCACTCCCTCCCCCTCTTAAGGGGCGAATCTGGAGAAGAAACTTGGGCAAAGTGTGAGATTTAGAAACAGCCCCTGGACTTGAGGAGCCTCATCACAACACTCCCGACGAGGGGAGAGAGGCAAGGTTTGCTCAGCTCCATGGGGCTGGAAATGTTTCTTTCCCCACAAACCCTGCCAGGCCGCCGTGCTGGAGGTGGGAGAAGCTGCTCTGCCCCGCACATCAGGTCACTCCAGCTGGGTCTGAAGGCAATGGAGCTGTGATTAGCCGGCAAAGCAGACGGCCATAAAAATAAACACCCCGTGTGCGTTTGGAGGTTTCCGCCGCCCTTGGCTGAGCTGCCTGCTCCCAGCAGATGGGGGAAGTGAGCCGGAGTGGCCCCGGTGAAGGTCGGCTGGGCAGACGGCAAGGCCAACACACACAGCGCCAATTCCATTTACTGCGATTATTTGGAGGAGAAAAACGTGCTATGCTTTTATTCCTTACTTGTTTCGCATATAGACCTTTCCCTCTTGATACACAGTACCTGCTGTAAAATACTGAAATTCAAATGACTTGGGCCATCTGGGAAATAAAAAAGCGTATGTTCGGTTATTTTCCACTGTAACAATGAGGAAAAAATCGGTGATAATGAGTAGGGTTATCTCTCAATCAAGAAACATCCTGGAGTGTGACAGACTCCAGCTCTACCACAGATATCCTGGGCATCTAGATAGGTTTCAGTCTCTCTGCCTCTATTGTCCATTGGTAAATGATTCCAGGATCCAGAGGTTGGAAGGGACCTTTGGACATCCCCTAAAGCAGCCCC